GAAATCAATGATAGCGTATTGCATCGTTTCTCTAGCAACTTAAACAAGACAAACATAAAAACTGTTTTCCTCATTCGATACTTTAATAGTTACGACTATGTATAATAATAATCAAAATAAGTAAAAGCAAAATTTTAATGCTTGAAACGTTTTCTTCAAACATAATATGTTATATAATAATTTATTAACTATTAATTATTATTAACTTGGTTAAATTATTTTTTAAAAATTAAATGCAGTTATTTGAATGTTCGGTATGTATCCATTGTAACAGCACAGGCCAGATCATCAGGGATACTCAAAATTTTAAAAGAGGGTCACATCTTTACGAGATGATATTTTCGTGGTGTGTCAATTGGAGACAACTTTTAAACCAAGGACATGGGAGAGAAAAAACTACTATTTTTATCATTTTATTTCAATTTGCAAGTTTTAAGAATGAGAGGAAAAATACATTCTCTGTGGTGGGCCATGCGCCATCGTTATTCGATGGACACTCCTGCCCTAAACTCCCACAAAGGTAGAAAATCAGTTTCCAGTAGGTAATATCAGAAGTGATATTGCTAACAGAATATTAAAATGATGAGAGCCAGAATGAGTAGACAAAATATTTTATAGGTTTAAAAAGCTTTAAAGAGCTTAAGTTTAAAGAAAAAAAAAGCAACAAACAAGAGTTTATTACAAATCTTAAGATTATTGAAATAATGTAGATGCGAGTAAATTTAATTTCTAAGAATTTGTTGATTTTATTGTTCTGTTTGGTATTTTATTTCCAGCAATGGAAAGATGGACCAGTTTAAACATATCAAAACATTGAAAAGTAATAACACTTATTTCTGCTAAGCAGAGGGTGGTAAGTGAAACTCGTGTGATCACCAGATTTTTTTTTTTAGTAAGAAAATAATAGTAATAAATAAAGAAGTATTGAAATTTATTTTAACGTTTGAATTAAAGAAAGATGTCGGAAGAATTGTTTTATGGATATATTTATTTCCAATCACTTCGTTTATCTATCTGTCAATATATAGATAGCCTAAACGAATTTTGCCAAGTTGAAGAATAGAAAAATAAAAAAAAATAATGAAACAAATTCACTTGAAAACTATGCTAATATTGCTATTCAAGTTTTATTTTAGATCTCTCTCTCTCTCTCTCTCTCTCTCTCTCTCTATATATATATATATATATATATATATATATATATATATATATATATACTTTAATAGTTAAAGCCCATAAATATATAAGGATTGTAGGACTATAAGTTGTTGGGATTTAACAAAGGGAAAATTCTTCAAATTCATCACTAATTTAATTTTCTAAATCTTACTTGATGATTTTTTTTTTTTATAAACAGCCAATAGATTGGCTGCTATATTATATGCAATAACTGTATGCAAAATACAAACGGTATAATTATTTAAATAATATATCCTCTCTAGAGTTATTAAACTACAGCAAAAGTATTTAAGGTTATAATTCATGAAATATTTGTATATTTCACTTCTTCTTTCAGACAAGTACAATTAAATAGTATTTTAAACAATGGCATTGTCATGATTCGGTGGATTTTAAATACTTTTTTCAAACTTAGAAAAAACATTAAAAATTACATTTAGCAAAAATATTTCATTGGAAACATGTGATTTATGTTAAATAATGTCTCATCATTCCAGTTGATCGTTCTATTTGGGGTGGTTGGCAATGGCCGCCTTTAGATGAGCTGTGTTAAATGATAAATTAGTGATTTAAGAACGGATATTGATAAAGTAAAAAACTTCGTATTAAATGGTCTATAATTCAAAGTTCTGAAATATTCAGATTCTATGAGTAATGAGAACGATAAATATCAGCAATAAAGTGAGTCATAATCTCGTATTCCAAGCATAAACGTTTTGATTATTCCGGAATAATATGTTCAGATAAGAAATGAGAAAGATCTATTTATTGTGATTACCGATACTTTTGTTCTTATTCAAAAATAGAATCTTTCAGTCAGATCTTCACTCCATTCTGGGTATCATAATACCAAATTTAGACTACTATTGGGTTGGAAAATAAGTCCTTTCGCTTTTTCTGTTTATTTTTATGTCACTATGATACACTTCTTCTCTGATGAATTAATCCCTAAGATAGATTGTTTATCCTGTTTGTAATATGTCAACAACTATATCGGTTAACTCTTGTTGAAACTAGTTTAGTATTGTGTTTGATTTTGCATTGTGAATATGGAAGTAAATATCATTCATTATCGGCATATTTTGATATATTATTTTAAAAAAGATAAGCGCAATGCAGAAGCTCATAGAAAATTTTGCAGTGTTTATGGAGATGATGCCTTAACTGAACACACCTGTCAATATTGGTTTGCCAAATTTCGTTCAGAAAATTTTGACATCAATGATGCTCAATGGTCTGGCCGTCCTAAGTAGGTTGTTAGTTGGTGTCTATGAATATTGAAACTAGATGAAGTATTAAACTAATTAACAACCCACTTATATACATACATATATATATATATATATATATTATATATATATATATATATATATATATATATATATATATATTCATCATTTTCCATCCCTTAAAAAAATCACGGGTTCTCACTGAGTAATTGCAGCCGTCAAAGTTAAAAATTGGTCAAGCCATCCGCTCAAAATGTCGTTATGCACCTTTTAGTGGATTGATTAAACACACTACCCAGTAGTTTGTAAGAATTTTAAGCTCAAATTCTTTCAAAACACTAGCAAGATCTCACCGAATAATTTAAGACATCGAACTTAAAAATCGATCCAGCTGTCCGCATAGGAAATCATTACGTAGCTTTTAGCTTAGTGGGCAACCCAAGCACATAACCCTCGTTTCACTTTCCTTAGTCGGGTAAAAATTTGTTTATGAACTGATATTAGTGTTTTCCAACCAAATTGATATATCTAACTTCAACCGACTAACCTAAAAGATACACACCATGGCCTTTCATAAATCAAGAGAAACATGGATATAATATAGTTCGAAATGTGAAATAGTTAAATATATTACAATTCCTCCCATAGGCATAAATAAATCAGTATAGACTCCTCACCATTTTATAGGGTACATAAGAAAATATAAGCATTCACTTCAGTACTGTTTGTTAACAATGAAAAGATTAACCCAATAAACATGATTATATTTTACAATTTTTTTTTTTTGGAGGGGAGAGGGAGAAGCTTCAGCCCAAAAGCCTCCTCACCCCTGTCCAGGGTCCCCCGCCTATGCCCATTCCCATATGATTATTCATATCCCTTTTCACCCCCGTATGGCAGCAATACCAGGATATCCCGTATCCCATATCCAAATATCCCATTTCACAGTCATTATATAATATTCTTAAAAAAAATACTAACTTTAATTGTTAAATGGAAGTTGATGCCAGATTATCTGTACACGATCCCCAAAATTTCATTCAATTTCGGGCCAAATAGAATTAGCCATTTCTGAAATGTGTTGTAAGAGGAAAATAAATTTGCGCATTCTTAAGCGATAATAGGGGGATCGAATTTGATAACATTGATATCGGATAAATTGTTTCACTAATCTCTGATTTCCATTCAACTCTGAGCCTAATCCAACTAGCCAATTTTGATATATAGGGCATATCATATTACGTTTGTGCATCCTCAAGCCGATGTAAACCTGGAATTGTGACCATCTAGGTATCAATCCGTAAGATCACTGAAAATATCATTAAAATCGGATCAACATGAGTAAGTGGTATGTCGGTCAATCCAATTTGACTACGAACTGATACCTATACCGGTACCGAAACCAAATCTGTTATTTCATGTCCAAAACGTTAACCACGAGTGAAAATTTTCGATTCTCAGTACTTATTTTTTTACCCTTTAACAAATACAAACTTCAACTTTGGGTCAAATCGAAGGAACCATACGGGAGCAGATTCATAACCGAAAGTAGGGGATGGAATTTGATAAAACTGATAATGGATCATTCTATCCCTAATCGCTTACGTTTCTCCAACTATAAGCCTAATCGTTATCTAATAGAAGGAGTCGTTTATTTATAGTTGCAGGACCGTCGAGTGGGTGCCGAGTCTAGGAGAGCGCCACAGATTAGGAGCAAACATTAAAACCAATTAGCTGGAAATCTAATGTAAATAAGAGTTGATTAAGAAAGCATATGTAGTAAAAAAAGTTTTTAAAACAAATCCTCATACAATAATATAATACAATAAGACTAATTCTAAATTATTTTTTAAAATGCGAACGAAAATTACAGCAAGCTGGGTTGAGATTTGAAATGTATTTATACTTAATCAATTAACTCTCTTTCTCTATTTAAACATTAGCTAATAGGATATTAGTCGATTCGGGAAGGAGCGGGAGGGGCGCCCAGAAAAATCTCGCTCCGGGCGCCAAAAACCCACGCGACTGCCCTGTGTAGTTGTATAATAATATGTTCGCACATTCGCGAGCGGGACTAGTTGGTTGCGATTCGATCAAACTGTTGAGGGACTATCGAAGTAGGTGATATGTATTTGTATTCAGACATTTATGGAACAATATTTGTTTCCTGGTGTTCAAACGCCATCTGACGGTGTAAATTTTCAATTCTGCGCATGCCTGACGAGAGGGAGGATGCCCATTCGAGGAAGTTTTATTTTTTACCTTCTAATTTGTTGCTTATAGTGGTGAATTTAATTCTTGACGGATTTCCGAGAAAATTTGTCGCTGGAGCACTTGGTTTTTTCCACGACCTTAAATCTGAAGAAAATATTTTTTATACGTTCGGTAATGAGACAGTAAAAATCGGGATATGTCCTTATATAATACGAACAAACTTTTTGTTAGAGCACTGATTGATATAAGTTTCAAATCAAAGTCAAGTAAACTTCTATAAAATTTTAATTGCAAATATTTAAGAATGAAAAAAATCACATTAAAATTCTTATTCATTCACAATTAATTTCAGATCGCTTGCAGATTTTAAGGACAAATCTTTTTAAGTCAATTTCTGTAAAACGCAATTTTTTCGATAATTTATTTTCAATTATTTCTCTACGAAAACAGTTGAAATCTTTCACATTATTGGCAATATTGGTGTAAACTAACCTAAACATGTTCTAAGACGTTTTTAATTTAAGTGTTAACAAATTAATACCTTCAATGTTTGGGATAAAGAATGATTGGCTACCTTCAACCAGAACTGGATTTTGAAAATGAAAACGAAAGTAAGGCAAAAAATAGATTTTTAATTTTGTTTCATTTGAGCTAGTTTAATTATAATACAACAAACTCTTACTAATCTGTACTAATAAAAACTAAAGGGATTCAGAATAGCGAAATATTATGATTAACGAAGGAGGAAAAAAAAGTAACTTCATTAATGACTAATCATTCTAAAATTCTATTTATTTTTTATTCATGATATTTATGACTGCATCAAAATAATACATCTAGTAAATTTGTGCAAATGGATATAATGACATGGAAACACTTGTTCAGAAACTACCCACTGTTAGCTCTCTAAATAGTATGTCTACATAAGGAGATCAGGAGGCCATCTTCTTTTCACACAGCTTGTAGGTAATCTAATATCAAATGATGAAATGAAAATAATATATTAAAAATATGTTGTTTAAAAATTAATATTTTAATTTTCGCGGTTTTTGGAAGTCAAAAACATTTTTTCAATGTCTCTAACCGCACATGTTTCGGGATTATGGTCAACTGAAATATCAATCAACAGTAAATTGTCCATTTTTATAGTTAGGATCTGAGACATGGAAACTATATAAATATTTTTATTCATTACTTTTTTTTTTTCAATATTAGAGGCAGAGGATTTATCAGCATTAAATACTAGTACTAATTTTGTTCCGGGTTTGCTTCCCCCAATACAACTAATTAATGTTCATTTCTCATCCCAATGTTAATGCAAGACATTTACTTTATAAAGCGTACATTTGAAAAAAAAGGAAAATAGATTCTCGAACATAGAACATAGAATCTCGAAAACTAGACCATTGCATTATATGGAAGATCATGAGGGGAGGTAAATCTATGCACTGTATTCTCTGTTTTTTAATGTACAGTACATAATTATGGAGGCTTTGGGATATCTGATGTATATACTTGTATACTCTTCACTGCATTAGAACACTTCCAGCGACCTTTAATATGAAAGTCAGAAAGTTTGTTTTCCAGGCAGAACGATACCATAGAACTGGAAATAAATGTCAGCATGTTCAAATGTTTCTTCATAGTTCTTCCCAAGTTTTGCATTTTTTGAATATCTAAACTTTTTTTCACCCACCTTAGCCATTTTTCTATTGCATTTTCCAGTTCTTAAAGTTTCGTGCGCCTTTACATTCCTTCCCTTCTACCATTTTTATAAATAAAAGTATAAAATGTTGAAAAGCAAATTTGAGAATGAAATTCAGCAGTTCAGTTAGCTTGAAATTTCCATTAATTAATTAACAGTTGATTAAAAAAATTCTGGTAAAAATTTATCTTAAGTGAATTAAAGAGTTCACATGATTTTCAAAATGACTGGCAAGGTGAAATTCCAAACCAACTTATTTTAAGCAAATTAAGTTTTAAGTCATTTTGGAAAAAAATAAAAATATTCTAAACAGTTATTAGATATGAAAGGTAGCAGATGCCATTGAATCTTTATTGAAGAAAAAACCTTTATGATTATTCTAAGACAAATAAAAAAGTTTAAAATTTTAATATTTCTTTTAAATTTGAAAAATGAAATAGAACAATGTATGTTAATTCAATAATTCTAACAATTGGTTTCTATTCTAGAATTGAACACACGTGATGACCAAATGGTCTCTAGATGAAAAAAAAAAAAAAAAATTAAAACACAGTTATTCTTTATTGAAACTAAGAAATTTTAAAATTATTCTTACATAGAGCCAAATATCCAGAATCTAGAGAATACAGAGAATCCAAAAAAAAATATTATATAGTATTGTGATTTATAATTGCTATGTTGCTATGATTATTCAATTAAAGAAGGTATTTCAAACCTTTTTTTAACTTAAATTGATTCTTGAAAGTAGGGGTTGTATAGTGCCTTCATTTTTATTTTGGATTTAATTATATTACTTTGAATTAAAATTGAAGTTATACTAACCATTTTTATCTTCTTCAATATTTCTTTTGTATTTAAAATTAAGTAAATTTTAATTTTGTTTTGTTAATGTTTAATGGAAGTTTTTGTTAATCTTAAAATATAATTTCATGTTTCCCTTCCATCTCTTTTATTGAAATACAAGAAAAAAACGATCTATTGATTGTACCTTTAGCTAGTGTTTGATGTTCTTGAAACTATCGAAAGTAGTGTAAAAATGATTGGAGTTTTAAGTCAAAGAGGAACAACTTTAGCCCAGAGCTAAGACCAATGTAACTTATCTATGACCAAGATAACTCAGTATGTAGAATAAATCCAAACTCCTGACCCAGCAAACATCTATTGGACATAAGGACATAAATACAAGTTTCTTTACTTATATTAAAGAAAAACTATTGCTACATTTTCTTGTTATTATGCCATTTATTTTATTTAAAATCAGAGCTTGCATTGTTTAACCTTTTTTGTTTTTTGCAGAAATATGCCATCAAGAAGCTACCGAAATGGAAGCAGAAGAAAACCAAACAACACTAATTATACTACTAGACTCCTTGCTAAAGAAAACATTCCTATTATTGATAAAGCATTATACAATCAAGTTTATCCCTCACGTTCCACTTCTAACACTCAAATACAATATGGTTTGACAGAAACTGAACTAAACAATCTACCCCAACCGAACTATAGATTAATTCCGGAATATTTCATTCATGATATGCCAAACAAGCCAGATCATTATATCCTCTTCAAACCGTCAACATTTGACGAAATTGATTCAAAAGTGGAGTACGACATGGATGATGAAGATGTTGCATGGTTGGGACTTTTGAATGAAAAGAGAAATTTAGCAAATATGAACAGTGTCGACACAAAAATATTTGAGTTTTTGATGGATCGCTTTGAGAAGGAATCCAGATTTGAAAGGAAAACCTATTTTGATGGAAAGCAGGTTGAAGAAATATCTGATGATGAGGCAGTGTGTTACATCTGCACAGGTGGAATGAGTTATGTATCGAATGAAATACTGTTCTGTGACATGTGCAACGTAGCAGTTCACCAAGAGTGCTATGGTGTACCGTATGTCCCCGAGGGAGAGTGGCTGTGCAGGCGGTGTTTTCACTCCCCATCCCAACTTCTTTGTTGTGTCCTTTGCCCAAAAGCCTCCGGAGCATTCAAACAAACAGATCGTGGATTCTGGTGCCATATACTCTGTGCAATTTGGATTCCAGAGGTACAGTTCTCCAATTCTATATTTTTAGATCCAATATGCTGTATTGAAAGAATTCCATCTTCAAGGTGGAATTTGGTATGCAGTATCTGTAAAAGTAAGGATATTGGGGCTTGTGTTAGGTGCAAGTACAGAACATGCTCTATAGCTTTTCATGCTACATGTGCCCAACAAGCAGGATATGCTATGGTAATGAAGTTGAATTCTTCTGGCTATAAGAAACAACGAGTTCATGGTATATTCTGTCCCAAACACAAACCAAGAGAAGAATCCCAATGTGATTGTGAGAACACTAATCATATGAACACTTTAAAGTCTCACGTAGCCCAAAGCTTATGCTCAAATATAGTTTTAGTCCCTCAAATACCAATTGAAAAGATCAAGGAGATTAGTGATCTTGTGGACTTTGAGAGGAAAAATATTTTTATTCGAAAGCTTTTGGCATACTGGGCCTTGAAAAGGCATCTTCGAAAGGGAGTTTCAATGATACCTTCAAAATGCATGTGTTTAGAACAAGAGCATATAAAAGTGACAAATTCTGATGCTTCTAAAAAAGATATAAACATAAATGTTGAATGTTCTGAGGTACAGGAGGAAAAAAATACAGAAGATGATACCACTAGAAAAACAAAGAAGTACCAAGAACTATGGCGATTTCGTCAAGATTTAGAAAAAGTTCGTCTTTTATGTGAATTAATACGGAAAAGAGAAAAGCTAAAGAATGAACTTGCATTGGTAAAATATAAATGCTTAGAGTTCCAGTTTGCTCCATTGATTATATATTTAAGAAAATTCACCGAAAACTTGATAAAATTAGATACAGATAATTTGTTCTCTAAAGCTGTAGATGGTTCTGAAGCAGTAAGCGCAAAACCAACAGATTTTGTTCAAATTAGAAACAAAGTTGATACCTTTCAGTATTCAAGCCTTGAGGAATATGAAAGTGATTTTCAGGCAATGATTTCAAGCCGTATCACATGTTATGCAAAAAGAACTAAAATATACAAATCTGCTTCAAAATTGAAGGAAAATAGTAGAGAAAAATTCCTGATGGCTTACAGAGATGTTGCAGATTTAAAGAAAATGAACAGCGAACGAAATGAGGAATCAGAGAATGATTTGCCAGAACCACTATCGCCTCAAATAAAATCTGAACCATATGAAAATCTTTCTGCTTCGGAATTCGCTACAGAAATAGACTACTATGGTGATGACCCATGCCCCTCAACAAGCTCATATAATCCGGCAACAAATAAAAGGAAACACGGAGAAAATCATTGTAATTCTGAACAGTTGATACAAAATTTGAGCAATGATATCAAAGAAGAGCCTGTTGAAATTTGCCAGAAAAAATCAAATGTCAGAGCTAATGTGGAAAAAAAGAAGAAAAAATCTAAGAGACCAAACATTAAGAAGAAGAGAACTGTTACTAAAAAGGAAAGCAGTAATAAAGTAGTTTTAAGAGATGATCCTTTCTCTAATTGCTCACAATCCCAACCTGAGGTCAACAGAAGGACAGCAGTATTGTTCACGAAAAATAAACCAAAACCAAGATATAAACTGTCTCCTACTTCAACTCATGCTCCCCTTATCAAACAAGAAAATATTTATTTATTTGAGGATTCCGATTAGATAACTATTAATGAAGTCTGTTTTTACCTCAAGAAATATTTTTATTTATATACTATCTGCTCAGATTTAAATTTCTGGGAGGTATACACATTAATTCCTAAAATGTTGATGATCTCAAATTTGAATGTTGGATATAAAACAGAGATATACAAGAAAAATTCTTCATGGCCTATAGAGGTGTTGCAGATTTGGATGAGCAGTGAACAAAATGAGGAATTTGAGAATGATTTAATTGAACAATATCTTTGAAATAGAATCTAAAATATACAAAAAACCTTTCCCTAGAGAAATCAACTATATTCACAAAACAAGTCGATAACAAATAAAAGGAAATATGAAGAAAACAATTGTAATTCAGATAAGTTGATACAAAATTTGAGCAATGATATCAAAGAAAGGCCTATAGAAATTATTCATACACAACCAAACATCTAAATAACAGTAGAGAAAAAAATTAAAATTCTAAGAAGGTAAAGACTGTCACTAGATGGACTGCGAGTTTGTTTACAAAACCGTAATATAAACAGTCTCCTACTTCTCTTCTTCTACTAATCAAACAAGATAACTATTTTTGTTTGTTTGAGTATACCAATGGGGTAGTTATTAATGAACTCTGTTTTTACTATAAGAAATGTTATTTTTATGTAGTATTTGCTCAGCTTCAAATTGCTGAGTACACACTTTAATTCCTAAGATGTTGATAATCTGAATGTTGGCTGTTAGTGTATTGTTATTGATGTTATTTATATCCTTTGATATTATGAAGGTGGGGACCAACAAATGGCCTTTCACCATGGAAGAGACACGGTTAATATGTGATCCCATTTTTCTAAAACATTTAATTTTATATTCTCTATCTGGTGTTTTAAATATTTTATAAATGTTTAGATGTTTTAAGTATTTTATATGAATGTCAATGTTTGACTAAATAGTTTAATGTTTATATGTATCTCAATATTTTTCTATGTGTTTGTATAAAATAAATGGTCATCTGTTATTTTTAATAAAGATGTTCTTAATTCTGTAAATAAAATAATTTATGTTGTTAATGATTGTTTAGTTAAAAGGAATAGAGAAATTTCCCAGTCTCTTTTTTTTCTTTCTAAAGACAGCAGCATAAAATAGTTTCTATTAAGTGCTATTATTTTTGCTTTGAACATAAAAGATTCTTTGTTTCTTGAAATTTTCCCCATATAATAACATGAAGACATTTAGCATTTTTCCATTTAAATTATTTTCACTTTTGAAATAAAAGATTCTTTATTTCTTGAAATAATATGAAGACATTTAACATGTTTACCATATAAATTAAATCAAAGAAATAAATTTTGAACTAAGTAATCACAGTCAATATTTTATCAGTCCATCATATTCTATTATTTTATACTGGCTTATAAGAGTATATCAACAATGTATCCCTCAGATAGTCAATACATTTCATATTGAATCAATAATAATAATACTTTAAACAGCAATTTTCAACCTTGCGATGCCTTGAGAAAACGTAAGGCCAGAAGTGGCAAGGCAGTACCTCAGCATTGTCAAGTTGCAAATGCCAGCACTAATCTGCCCTGCTAGTGATGATGATGGGGCCCCAATTGATAAATCTAAGTTTTTTATTTCTATAATAAAAACAGCTTTGAGGACTTTTGATTCAGTATTCATTCATTTCTTTATGTCTTAACAAATAGTTCAGGTGCTAAATGCAAATTGTGCATCATCATCATTATCTGATATCACAGGCAAGTCTCTGGCCTCCATTCTGTTTCTCAAGATGGAAGTAATCAGGGCACACTAATATCTCACCCATTGAAAAAATATGCGAAATGATTGAAGATCTCTTTGCCTACTACTTGTTTATTCAACTTTTCTTGTTTTTAGACAACACTTATTTCTTATTCTGCCTAAGGAACAAACTCCGGCCTTATAGGAGCACCAAGTTGAAATTATCTAACTCCAAAGTAACTTCTAAAAATGTACTGGAAGTTCTCTGCTTTCACGAAGAAGTGTTTTCTGAAGGTCATATCTTGTGGGGTTGTCGGCCACTATTGGTTCTACTCCTCAGTGATATAATTCCAGATTACACGTTTCTGTCTATCAGGACTATCCCCTGAAAGCGCTGCCTTCTCTCTTACAGCAGCAAACCACATCTTCAACAGGATGAGGGTGTGAGGTCTTTTGCTTAGTACCTTGAGAAACAAAAAAAAAGAAGTACTTTGGGAAACTAATATTCTGAAGAACTTTCCCAGAGTTCCCCTTTCTAGGAAATAACTCAATGCCATTTATGGAAGGCATTCTTCTATGATATTGTCTTTCATTGATTTGGAGACCACACAATCTTAATTTGAAGATTAAATCTTGCAGAGGAGCCTTTTTAGGTAAGTTACTTTCTATTGAGATCTCTCCATCAATGTGCAGTAGAGCCCCTGATTGGCCAGCTCACTCTGGCAAGAATAGGTTGGTAATCTGTAAGAATAAAGTTTTCTTTCTCTTTTAGTTACATTAAATAAAGGTTTTTAGTCCAATAAATGGACATATAAATCTCATTTACTTAATAAAAAAATAATAAATAGGAGGTTCATTCTAAATAATTTTTAGAGATTTTTTCCACATCAAGCTGAGTAAACTATTTACCTCAGTAATTTGAAGAATATCACCTTTCCTCTGTAGTCTATCAACAGTCATCTGAAATTTGTTATTAAATAGTTGAGCTATATTATGAAACTTGCTTAATATTTTTTTTGATATACTGTACATTATGCGATGAGTCGATAGGAATTGAAATTTTTAATGTTCATGTGAAGAAAAAATCATATAATAAGTGATGAAAAACAAAAAATAAAAATATGTATCAACAAATCCTGGATTCTCTGTGCAGAAATTTGACATGTTAATAATAATCTTAAATTTTTGGGAAAGCTTCACAATATCAAGCCGAGATTAGAATATAGCTGAAATATATACCTATTTAATACGAATATAAGAAGAAAAAAGGAAATAAATCATATATTTCTTTTTCACTGAGTTAACTAGTTTGAAGAAAGATAAATCCTATTTCTACTAGTTTCAACAGTCTTCATATTCAGTTTTTTCTTGGTTGATTTCCAGGTTCAACTCTTCTGCTGCCTTGATGCAAAGAATGCTTCATTTGAAACTCTTAGGCACTGTATACTACAGTCATTAAAGACGAACGGTCATTTAATATATTATTGCATTCTATTGCTTTCGTAAGATTGGTCCTAATGCTAATTTGATATAAAGTTCTTTCTCCTGGTTTAAAAATGTGCCTAATAATTCCTAATTATTCTATAATTCCTAATTATTCTCATTCTATTGGCACAAGCTTCTGGTAAAAGATATTAGACAATGACGTATATCCACAATAAAAAAAGTTAATACTCTGAATAATATAAAAAGGATATATCCTTTCATCTATCGCTTCATCATTTTTCTTTGATTCCTACGTAGAAGAGTATAATATTATAAATTTCTTTATTTAGGTTTTTGGTTCCTTTTAGTTGTCATTGTAACATATTTCTATCCACTTCTTGTCCTCCTGAAGGATCTAAACCATTCTTGATTAAACTTATTGTGCTAAACTTATAGTACACAAAGAGCAGAGCTGCCAAAACCATGTTACATAACTCAAACATGGTGTATTGGACGATTAAAAGTAGTGCATCATATGTGTAGCTATATGAATTTTTACATTGTGGGTCTTAAACATATCATCGAACTAAAATATTGACATTATTAAAGAGCTCATATAGCTCGTTGTTTTTCCGTATTCACCACTGATTATTTATATTCTCAGAACTTTCCTCTCCCAAATTGTCAGCAACCTCGCATTTGCCTGTGTCAAAACACATGTTTCACACCCGTAGAAAATGACTATGGATTGTCACTTTGGCATTCCACGCCAGTTCCTTTGATTTCAGTATTTTTAACAGAGCATAAAAACACTTATTGCAAGCTATAATTCTGGCTTTTATTTTATATTGTTTTGGTCAATCACTATTACTCCGAGGTATTTAAATTCTGTTCCCATTGGAAAATGTTGCTGATTAATTTGTACACATTCCTGTATCGCTACATTATTCCCTTTTTCCATAATGCTTGCCTCTTACTAATTTCAATTGAAAGGACTTTATACAATTGGTAGAATTGCTATTCCTCTATAGTTATTACAATGAAACTTGTCTTCCTTTTAAAAATAGGATGTAGAGCTGTAGTGTTCCATTCTTCAGGTATAGTTTCATGCGTCCAGATCATATATATGAGGTTATAAAGCTGTTTTATTAATTCTTCTCCATTCTTCAGTAGCTCTGCTGGTATCTCATCCACACCCACTGATTTGTTGTTCTTTAAAGACATAATTATTTCTTCTATTACTTCTTTCTCCGGTGACATTTCTTCTTCCTCACACATGTTTCCTCTATTTCTTTATGCTTCTTCTTCATTGTTCTGTTATATGTTTCTTTGATAATTATATGATAAGTATTAACTTCAGAAAAATATTCTGTCCATCTATCTATAGGAGAAGGGCAAACTTCTTAAGGTATGTTTTGCACTTATTTATTTATTTATAGTTTTTTCTTCTTTTATGGTGAAGGAGCACCAAGTTAATCATAAACGGAATTGTGAATAAACAAAAAATTTTTTTTGTAAGGATAAGTGAATAACATGTATTTTATACCAAATAAATAAATCTTCCTATTAATAAAATTTTAATTTATATTCAAAGATATATGTATATATATGTAGCAACATATCCTATGATTTCATGATTCATTCATGTACACCCTTCCATTTTCACATGAAGATTTTATCACATTTCCCTCAGCATATTTAAATGGATTTGGGGAATTCATCTTACTGCCTCAAACCTTTAAATAGAAATAAAAAATATAATATATTCAGCTCCTTTGTTAACATATTATCTAATATAACCCTACAAAAAAAAAAAAAAAAAAAAAAAAAAAAAACGAATGTATAATCATAGATACACATTAATTTTATGATTAGTATTATATTATTCATTTTAAAATTATTATGTTGATTATGTTTATCATCACTCATAATTTTTATACATAATATAAACTTCTGAGACTTTTTTTTGGGGATCCATCGCAATGGAAAGTCCCCATGTATGGCCTATAATGTAATAATTTGATGCGAAATCTAAATATAATAAACAAATATGTATATATAAATATTTGGAATATAAATAAATAGAGCAATAAATTGAATATACATGTTCTAGATGAATAAATATAATTGTTAATAAATATATACAAACATGATAATATATAAAATATGCTTATGATAATATCAATAATTAACTATTTAAAAAATTAAAAAATGTGAGCATATATATAAAATTTAAATAAAATTCCGTCCGTGTATGTATATAAATATATACAGGCACAAAATGAATTATTGAAATTAGCAGAGTCCACGTAAATACATTGAAGGTGACAGCTGAAATAATATAATAAACAAAATTATCAATATCTGGAATGTCAATGTAAAATACTTGAATACTGGAGGCGCACTTAAAAGAAAGAAATATGATGGAAAATAAGCATAAAAATTTACAGAATTAGTGTTGCTAGAAACAGCTTTAGGCCTCTATTGGAATCAGACTAACTTACCCGATACTTCTTTTAGTCTTTTACTATTACGCATGCCAAGTATTATAATAATATTAAAATTAGCAATAATTAATACTGCAAATTTATACATTTAAATTAAATAAACTTTAAATTAAACAAACGTAAAATCTTAATATGAAAAAAAATAATATATGTTAATTATGATGGGCAAACTGTTTATTGGATATAAATTATCTCCTCACTAGAAGCAATAAAATGTACAATACTGATGAGGGAGAGGTCCGGTACATGCAATATGATCAGGAGCCGTTTTCTTGGAAAAAGAATAGTTCTTTAGATATTTTGTGGAGAGATATTGAACATTTTATGCTACTAGCTGCTACTTTATTTTATTGAATATTTATCCCTGATGGAGAAATATATATATTAGTTATCAGTAAAATTATAAGCATAACTATGAATTATAAAAATAAACGGTGTTAGTCTCATGCTGTGAAATCTTATCTCCCATATGACGTCGCTGGCTGCTTTATTAAGCACTTCTCTATTCTAGATCAGCAATGCCGTTTTCTCCAGATAGGTATAGCTGAAGGGTTGTTAATAGTGATCGCTGTGTCCACGAAAGAAGTGTTTTGATTGCTGGCTGCGTGGTGAGTGAGGCAGAGTAGGGGGAGAGGGTGCTTGTTGGTTTCCTGGACTTTGGTTAATCTGTACTAGGGATTTCCCTGATAACGTGGTTGCCATCTGTGAGGGGAGTCAATTAAAGGAAACCAGAAGCCCCAGAATAATAATAGACAATAATAGTACTAGAAAATGTATTATAAATTAATATAAGTGTGTAAATCCGACACTGTTTATGTATGAGGACATTTCTTTAAATTGGAGAAAACATTATTTTTTCACAATTATAGAAATGAATAGGTAGAAAATTCATGTGGTAATTCTATAATTAAAATAAACTTGTATCTTAGAATATATATTATAAAAAATACTAAAATTACAAAATTAAATTTTCTAATAGGAATTTTTTCTATTTTTGAAATTTTAAATATAAATACATAAAAAGTATTTATATTAAAAAAACAAAATGAAATGAATCATATTTGGAGTTGTAGTTTCTCGAGCTAGTAACTGTTATGGATCCTATTCATGTATAGTGAAGAAAGATTTTGAAAATAGAGAAGTGGGAGTACTCACAACTTTGGCAGTTCCTTCACGAAAATCACCAGAGAACATGGCCCTCATCATGTCGCAACGAGCCATGAGCAAAGGACGGTGAGCAGGCAAGCAGCCATCGTCCAGCTGGAACATCACATCAGCAAAAAGCCCCTGGTTCAGGCACAGGTCTCTCAACCGAGCCCGGACAGCCTAGCACAAAACAGGGTGATGTTAAGAAGCTGTATTATCTTTAAGAATAGTATAACTTTTAATTAATAATCACTGACCATTCACACATGGGCGATTCTATGAAGTTACCTTTTTTTGTAACAAAAAAAAGTTTTAATAGCTTGTATTTTGTAGTTTGGGATTTTGTATTGATCGTGGAAGATTGAATAAAATGTCTATTGTAGGATTCTACTGAGAAGAAAGCTAAGTGGTTTGATAGTCTCTTGAAGATTAACAGGAAGTAAATAATGTCAGTCGTAAAGGGTAGTTAAATCTGTTTAGAATTTATGCTACTAGAAATGTTAGCTGAGTTCTGGATCCTGTGGTTTAGAATAAGGAGCTGACATTGAATAGTATTCATGATAAGGGTTTTATCTGGATAATAGGATATGGAAGTTAAGTTTTTTAAAAATTTTATTAAGAAATAATGCATTTTTCCACACTTAAAAGCATTAAGTATTAAAGCTATAGGAGACTTATTCATGCCATATATGTGACACAACAATAACAAAACAAAATAAAAGAAAACAACTGTAATAAGATCAAAATAAACGAAACCTTTAATAAATTATAAAATTCATCAGCCAAGGGAGGTGAGAGTCCAGAATAATAAAAATCTATTTTCACTTCATTTTCAAAAAAACTTTATACTATTATTATAAATAACATAAAGTTAATATTGTTATTACGGTACCTGTGGTTCCACCAATCACTCTCTATATACTTCCCTCCACCTGCCACTGTTGAAACCCAACCCCGCTGGATCAGCCTTAATGCAATCCTCCCACCTTCCCTTCGGTCTACCACTTGTATGTTTATTTAACCTTTTAGGGATTATTTCATTACCAAGCCCAACTGTAAAATTACGCCCATTTTATTCACATCAATGTAGTCACCTCAATCATATTAAGATACAGTTAACTCAATTCTTTGTTGTGTAACCATCTAAATTCTCCGGAAGATTCATCCATCTTCGGCCCGAATATTTTATGTAATAATTCATTTTCAAAAACCTTGAGACATTTACGTATGCAAGAAATATAATCAACTATCACATCCATAAAGTACCTTAGGTACGATAATGGTTTTGTAAATTCTAATTTTTAAGTTTTGGGACAGGAGGCAAGAATTAAGTAGTTTTGTTACAGAAAAGTAATAAGCATTTTCTGCCTTCAACCTTACCTTAATTTCCTCTTCAATTTTATAGTTATTTTAGATCCTAAAAACCTAAACTTTTCTACGTAATCAAATATATTCCCTTATATATTTATATCACCGAAATTATCATTGTTTTTTCAGTTAACCAAATATTTTGTCTTATCCTTATTTATTTTATGCCTTACTCATATACCAGCTTTTATCAATATTGTTGTATTTAGTTTTATAGTTTCAGTATCTTTGCTTAAAAAGACCATATCATCAGCATAACTAAGCATAGATATTGTTCCACTCAGATTCAAATATTTTTCAGTACTGATCACCTCCCTAATGGCATGTTTACATACTAAATTAAACCGGTGAAAGGGGATCACTCTGATTTAATCCCATATGAACCTCCAACTTTTGCATAAATTATTTCAGATTCTAACTGAATTGAATGTTTCCGTCATGCACATCCTAGATTTACTATTTTTTTGAGAATTATCTACTCAACCAGAATATTATACAGTTTCTAGCAGTCAATGGATTCATTAGCCTTTTTGAAATCGATATTGAGCTGGTGAACAATACCGCTATACTCTAATATTTGCCATAAAGAAAATATTTGATCAATAGTTCTGCCTAAATCCACATTTAGATAGTTTCCAAATCTTGTCTCGACATATTCTGTCATTTGATAACTAAGGATTAATATAAATATTTTTTATTATAACAAGGGTAAGATTATAAGAACACAAGGTAATAAGAAGGTAATAAGAACACAATATTCAAAGCGAGAAATTGGTATACTAGTCATTTATAGCTTACAAAAGAAAATCCAGACTTTAAGAATACAGATTTTCTTACCTGTTTATACCTTTGCTTCAGTTCTGGATTCAAAAATTCTTCATGAGATTGTAAATTAGATACAAAAACCAAGAGCTCTGGTAATTCCATGAATTCAGCAGCTTGTCTGATTTCCTGTAACAGAAATAATAACTTAAATTTTTATTTTTCAACCTGGTACTTAAGAATTATATTTCAACTTCTACGTTTTTCTAACATCATTTGATTTAGCAAACTTTAAAACAGCATATTCTAATACTGCCTATTATCATTACCAGTAATAATCCAACTGAAGAATTCTGAAAAATAAAATAATAACAAAAAGGTATGTTTTTTAATCGCGTTTATATTAATTGAAAAATTTCTTGATTTTAATAAAAAAAATAAACTTGATATTTACCTGCAACTGAGTAAATTTCGGATCTATTGTACCGGTATATAGGAACTGTAGGCATTGCTGCATTGCTTGTGCGGTAACAAGTTTGCTTAAAGTGATAACAGTCTGAACTGAAGTAGTGATTTTCCCTTGAGGGTCTAAATCTTCACACTGTAATAGGAAAAAAAATCTAATAGAGAAACAATTCAATTTTACAAAATTAGGCTACATATAATTACATGATGGTTTATTATTTTCATAAATAAAAAAAGTCTGATCTGTTCACTAATGTAGTCACTTCACAGTGTTTGGAAACAGCACAATATAAAAATTGTTATAATGATTTAGAGATGGTTGACCGTTGATATAATATGAGAAGGAGTTAGTCGAGGGTGCGGTCAAATAAATAAAAAAATTAAAATATATAAATTATTTTAATTTTTGCCGACGTTTTGATCCACTTTGCAGGTCGTCTTCAGGGCGTAGGATGTGGCACTGCGGGAGGCAGTTGAAACACTGAAGTGTTTCAACACGGCAATGTTGAAACACTAAAGTGTTGAAACACACTCAGTGTTTCAACTGCCTCCCCCAGTGCCACATCCTACGCCCTGAAGACGACCTGCAAAGTGGGTCGAAACGTCGGCAAAAATTAAAATAATTTATATATTTAATTTTTTTATTTATTTGACCGCACCCTCGACTAACTCCTTCTCATATAAAAATTGTTAGCTAATACTGGACTAATTTAGTTTTTTTCAAGTTTAGCTAAGTAAACAAATAAAATATTTTTTAAAAGAACACCTGGAATGATTTGGGAGAGATATAGTTTTTTATTTATTAAAACTAAGAAGTATTAGTTCTTTTCATGGGAAAATGCACAGAAACGAAACTAAAGTTAGCAAGTTTGAGACAAAATATCTTTGCTAATCCTGGTCTTTTTTTTTGTTTGTTTAGTAAAAAATTTAGTTATAAAGCCATGATGGAATTTAATTATAGAGATTTTTAAAAAATCTATTTATCCGATTTTTGGATTTTAAGAATCTTGTAATGTAAAACCTCCAATTTTGTGAAAAAATATTTTTTTTATGTTGTCAGACTTAAAAAGATTCAGTATAGAAAACAATAAAACAAAATATATAAACAAACCAATCACCAATATCTGGAATATATCATGGAACCAATTGAAAATATCATGAAATGTGACAGTGTATTAAAATTCAATACAGTTATAGTTCAATCACAAGATTATTGCTGACCAAAGGTGAACTCATGTGGCACCATGTTGAAACTAACGACACCCTCCTAGGTAAGGTAAAAAAGGTAGGTGCAGGTCACCAAAAATATATTTATGGATTCTCATTTATTTATTAATCCTTGTTTTCATTAATATTGTTCACAACAAATTTTTATATTTATGGTGAAATGAAATCAAACAACTCTCAATTCAACTTTGTCAAGTCAATCGCCCCAAGGTCGATGGTGCAAGAGCCTACTCCCTCCCTCCTCCAAAGATTTTTGATTGCTCACATTTTATATATAAATGTTGAAAAACAAAAAGTGAAAATTTAAAATTTTTCACATTTTCTTTATAAAAAAATATTATAAATATCAAAATTTTATGAGAATAAGTGGGTTTAAATGTAAAAAGTATTGACTTATAACATTCACTGTGTTTCTATCCTCTTATTTTTTTCATATTTCATTAGAAGTGAAATTATATTTATCTAGAAAACTTTTAAGATCATTGTACTTCATTTTCGTGATCATGTTTTAAGAATATATAAAAAAAAAAATTCAAAACATACACAAAATAATAAATGTTGACTTACTTGTTGAACCCTAATACTAGTGAACGCCGGATGGTTGAGCTCTCGATTGGCACATATCCGCTGACTCGGACTGTTGTTACAGGCAGAGGTGAGCACTTGACAGCTCGAGCGCCTCTTTAGTTGGTCCCAAACTCCTACTCTATTATATAAGTAACATATATCAGATGTCAGCAACTATTTCTTTCTATAAAATTTTAATCTAGAAAATTAAAAGTAAAATTTGTAGACTTCTTTTTATTATCCTGGGGTTAATATTAATTATCATGATAACCCTTAAAATTTGTTAAAAACATTAGTGGGTCCTCAGCTTGTGCAAGCAGAGTGATTGGATATAAGCACAAGTATACAGTGACTATTATATTGTCCTAGATACAAGTTGATTAATTGCGTAAATTTTAAGGAAATCTTAAACAAGTTCTTATTTAATAAAAAAAAATTCTATATACTTTAATGGAAAAATGATCATGTAAATGTAGGCTTGGAAAGTCATTTTACAATTAAATACAAATGTATGGTACTGTATAGACAAATATTCATATCATCCTAAAAATCAAATTTTAAGCTTGATTTGAAGAGCCAAAAGTTACTAAAACAAAATTGAATTTGTTGAAAATAATACATGTGTATGTGATGATAAACAAATTTTTTTCATTAAATCATGCTATCAATGCTCATTGAATCGTTAAGTTAGCATATTTCTTAAGAAATAAATATTTCCTAAATAATTAAATTAAAAAGAAATAATTAAATCTAGTATTCAATGAAATATTAGCTTTAGAAAAATTCTAACCTTGAAGGTTTTTCAACTCTAATAAGGAACTCTGTGTCTTCGTTGAAATCACCTGATGTAGCTTCACCAAATGATGAAACCTAGAATATATAAGACAAATATTTATATTAAATCCAAATCTTATTATATTGATAAATAAATAAAAATGAAAAATATATACCATGCTTGATTCGCTAGCACTCCTAGTATTTAACTCTCCAGTTAAATCAGTACAAAGAAGTCTTTGAAGAGAAGGGGATGCTGAAGCAAGCATAAACCTGAAATGTAATGAATATTATTACCAGAGTTCATATTTTTATGGATTGAAAAACTTTAATGGTAGCAAATAACAGATTGATGATAGTGAGGCTTATACCAGGCTGTCGATAAAAGCATGATCGACGAGCGGTAGAAGATGAATGCAATCATTATGTAACTATGAAGAAATAAATAAAATTGTATTTGTTCTATTAAAATTAAAGTATGATTTGTATTACCCAGAAACTGTGAGATGGGTATGTTAACAACAAATGGCAAGAATTCTTCACTTATCACAGTTAAATCTTTACTCAGTACTGTTAGTTAATGTTAATAGCATTAATTTTTCTTCTATATTTTCTATATCTAATTTTTAATTTAAATTAAAAAAATAATTTATGTTGTGTATTGTAGAGGCTGATGAGCAAATTAAATTAAATTATATTTCATGAATTAAAAATATGTAGGTATAGTCAAGTGTGAATAATTGCTGGGAGAGGTACTAGAGGCAAGACTGGGTCAGATAACCTAACCTGGGCCTTATCCTAAGGTACTGAAACTTTTTGACCTACAGGTCGTTAAGGAGTGTAATAAACACCAATAGGGGCAAAATTTTGGTTGCTAACCAGGAGGCACATCTGCAAAATAAGGAGACCTTCCTTCAAGCAGTAGGAGAGAGAATCACTTTATTATCATAAAAGGGTGCTGCCCAATTACATTGGGTTGCTTTAAACACAGCATACTTATTAATCGCTACAGACAATTTTCCAAAACTAATATACAAGATCTAAAAAAAAGGTTAAAAAAATTGTTTTTTTTTTTTTTTTTTTTTTTTTTTTATTTCAATGGAATTTACAACTGTATTACATAGAGAATACAATAAGTAAATGAGAAATTTGTAACATGGCATGTACAACATGAAGAGAAACTACCCATTGGTAGAACTCAAATTAAAGTTCTATATTAGAAGATCCCGAGGCCATCTTCTTTTCAGACGCCTCGGAGGATTATCAGGGATCGAGGATGAAGCAAGGTTTGAAACGAGAGGATTCGGATGATTCTGCAGTTTGTTATGGAAGGAAAGGTATCTGGATTGGGCCAGATCGGAAACATATGGAACATTAAGGTCTTTATGGATGATTTTATTTGTGACAAAGTAAGGAGCGTTGAGGATTTTACGAAGGATTTTGGATTGTAAGGATTGGATACGAGAGGAATTCGATGGTTTAGTGGAGCCCCAAAGCTCAATTCCGTAAGTCCAAATGGGTCTTATTATTGTCATATATACGAGTCGTTTATAATTGATTGAAAGCTTAGATCGTTTGTCTAGTAAGTGCTGCAGTAGTCGAAAACGTCGGGCGGTTTCTAGTCGTTTCAGTCTGGTATGGGGGTGGTTAAAAAAATAGAAGGCAGAGTGGTTCACTTCTGCTATGAAACTTCATTCAATATGGAAAACCTGAGGACATAGAGGGCGGAGTCAGAGGGAAATGATCAATGAGATAAACTTGAAAAGGGGAGTAAGAGGCAGAGTGTGGGAGAGGCTATCTAAGGAAGAGGTTTCTTGAGGAGAGGGTCATCGAGTGTGAGTGAGTGAGAGTTGAGTTGCTAGCAAGAGTGACTTGGATGAAGCAGGCTTAGAGGCTTCCTTGAAGATCTTGGTACTTAAGAAGCGCCTCACAGTCAAGATGAGACTTGGATAGGAGACAAGCACCAGTAATATTAAATAGCATCCTTGTAAACTTGTGTTGGAAATTAGATAAAACAATGCAGTCAATAGTAAGATACAAAGTAGCATTCTTCATGTGATATTCATTAAATATATTTATATTTGAACTCAGTAATATGTTCATTTTTGCTTAAATCTTGATTTCTTAGCATATATTTCTGCATACCGTCAGATAGATATAGAGATACAGATAGTAAATTGAAAACATGATACCTTCAAAAAAGATATCTGATAAAAACTAAACTTCAATATAGTATATTACAGCAGGGAAGGGAGTCTGTGATAACTATCTTCCAATAAATAATTAATATATTTTTAAGTAGAGAAATATGAAATACATTGAAAAGAAATAAATGCGGTTCCTGATGCCTCCTACCCTCCTTAGAAAAGCGGTTAGCCAGAAACGTATCATTTATTTATTTTTATAATGAAAATAAAAAATAAAAGAACAGTTGTTAAGAAAGACAATGATAGAGTTTATTTATGTGGTAGCTAGTTTGTGCAGATGTGGGTTGCATAGAATAAATAATCCTCACCTATGAGCTGGCAGACATGTTGTCCCTGCAACAAATATGACATCTGTATGAGGAAGTTGGCTTAAAAGCCACCTTAGAGAGTCATCAAATGTAGATGCACATACTTGGACAGGTCTTGCCGTAGGTCTTGGAGGGCAGTATGGAGCCTAAATAACAATAAAAGTTAACTTAGTTGTGAAGTTATTTCAAACCCTTCAGGTAACATAGACAGGAAATATAAATAAAAAAAAAATAATTTCGATTAGGAGTAAGTCTAACCCTCAGAATTTTAAATATTCATTGCTCTTTCAAGAGATCTGTTATTTATCCAACCTAATGAATTTTTAATGCTTAATTTTAATAAAATTTACTAGATTTATATCATGAAGTACTGAGTGATGTAGTTATTTGAATAATTTAATTTACACATCTTTCTTAAGGCTAGATATTCTAAACAATACTTTATTTATAAAAATGTTTTAGTGTTATTCTTAGTTCAACTTAAGTGACCATACATATCCCATTCATAAAAAAGTGTAGAAAAGTTTATTTTTTAGAAAAGTTTAGAAAATTTAAGGTCCCAAATAGTAGGTAAAACTTGATAACTTTATAAAAGAAAAATAACAAGTGTTTCACACATTCATTTTAACAATAATTTATTGTTAAGTTGAAATTAATTTATTTTAGGTACTCTGGAATCCAGATACTATCACTTTTCCAGATATTCAAATCTATCTCTCTTAATAGACTTGGCACTACCGGCCATTTCATTTAACGGAAGGGCGTAAAGCTAGTAACCATTTTAAATTCTAGAGAAACCTCATCTGATCACACAACTTTGGTTAGTCGGTAGAAAGCTGCTGCTTTCTATTGCCAAAATTTAAATTAAAGATGTGGACTTTGACGATTCATTTAATGGAAGAACTTATTGCTGAAATTTGGATATGATGTAAAGAATATGTCCCTAAAAGAGAATTTATCTTGACTGATGATGTACTCGGTTGGGTTTTGAAAACGGACTACGTCAAAGTCATCAAATTAGGCTGGGCGGATGGTAGTTGGATGAGTAAAAATTCAAATAGACGGTTTCTCTTTGGTTAATTTATTTATTTTGGGTTACTGAATCTGAATTTGATGTTCCCAAATGAAAATTTTTATTGTGTTCAGAAATAAATGCAAAAAACAGTGAAATTTTCAAACATTTTCTAGTTTATGAGATATGATTATTATTATTTATTTATGAAATTATTATTATTTTATGAATAGCTTTTTGATGGAGGACCAATGGGTGAGGAGTTAGAGAATGTTGACTGTTTGCTTATTTCACAAGAAAAATCTGTTTTCGTCAGCTTTTCCCCCAAAATCATAATCTATGCCTCTTTCAAAGAAATACATTATAATTAATTTGAAAGATCATTAAATTTCTTATGTACCTCATGTAGACATGTTAATATGTGTGAAGATTAAGCAGCTGTTAAAGCTTGTGAAATCAAAGGGATTTTCCCTTATGGTATCTGTCGCTCTTAACTTAAGTGCTTTTTATATTTTCAATGCTTTTTATTCGGCTAATTTAACAATTTTATAATAGAACTAGAATGTATAAACAAATCACATAGCTTTTAGATATTAACCAAAAGCCTATTCATAACCATACAGTATTGGTATTGGTATATATATATATATATACAGTATTGGTATATATAAATATATACCATGTGTATATATATATATATATATATATATATATATATATATATATATATACATACATATATATACACATGGTATATATATATATATATACCAATACTGTATATATATATATATATATATATATATATATATATATATATATATATATATATATATATATATATATATACAGTATTAAAACTTTGTAAATCTTTAATTTTAATTTTTGTAAATTTTTTTGTTATTATTGTTAGTTTATATTTGTTTTTACTTTTTACAGCCTGTTATTGGTAATTTAGATAGTTAACATTAAACCCTTGTGTCCTTGGCAATAAGAATTATCGGAATTTAATTGTATTTTGTTTAGTCCAATATTTTATTATTATAACATTATTGTTTATTTATGGCATCCTTCTATTCCAGCATTGATTAATTTAATACAGGAATCTTCAAACTACTGCCCACGGACCCGCTCTAGCCTGGCTTTTGAAAGTTTCTTTGATTATATGGTGAAATTTTAAAAATTATCAAAAAGATTTAAAATTTATCAAATTACTCACATAAAAGAGGTTACTACAACGTTTATTGAATTTTTTTTTTCTTTTAAAAAGCTCATTTCAAAATTGATGTGTCATTTATAGAACATGATTTTTCTTTTTTCATTTTCAGACTTAGGTGGAGGTCTCAATGTGGGCTGCGGGACTTAGTGGAGGACTTAATGTGGCCCACTGGTCAGAAAGTTTGGAGATACCTGATTTAATTTATTCTACATCTTCATCAAATTAAACCTTTTCTTTTTACCAACATATTCAAATATATATATTAAAAGATAAATTAAATAAAAATGGGGAGATGGTATTTTTCTGATGTGATCTCCAACTTCTAGCCAGAGATGGGCAAATGCTTTAAGTATTGATTAACTAGTACATTACTCAAATACTGACCTTTTTTGGGTACCAAAGCATTTAATTACTACTTCATTTAATGTCAAACGATTAACTGAAATAGTGATTCAATTTCTAATAGTGACTCAATTCGAGTAAAATACTTGGTACTTGGTACTCAGAGTAGCATTTGCCCATCTCAGCTTCTAACAACATAATTTTGTGGATAACATTTTTCAACTTTAATCTAGTTTTTATCTCCTTTTCAAATTTTTTCTCATTCAGATATTGAAAATTGAAACATTTTCAAGTAATTAATTATCAAACCATCTAATTATCGAATGAAATTCTAAAGGTAAAATGTGATTTCTTTTCTTTAATACAAAATATAATCATTCATTATTTGAATTATATAGAGAAAATTAAAGAAATATAAACTATAACAATAATAACCTGAAGGAGAGGTCGTTGTACTTTTTTTAAATTTGTCATCCAGAACCGCTGTTGTCGTCGAGCTATAAGGGCTGAGCGAATGGCATTTTCAAACACTTCATTTACCCCATAGTACGTTAGAACACTTGTTTCATAGTAAGTAACACCCAGCTCCCTTGCTATACTTCTTGCCTGGTCTGGCATGACAAGATCAGACTTCCTTATCGCCCTGAAAATTAAATGATGTTGAACTATAAGTTATGCAAACAAAAATAAATTTAAAAAGTTTCTAACGATAGAACTGATAGTTTCAGGATATTTACTATTTCAACAAATCTTGATATTCGTTAATTTTTTTATTTCTAGAATTGTATATTTTGGATTCTTAAAATAAATCTCAATAATGTTACTAAATAAGTTAGTAATTTATCAAAATTATATGTTTTGACTAATTGCTATTTTAAAATTTTACAGAAATTGTAGAGTAAATAATTACTAAATAATGTACCCTACTATATTTAAAACAATACAAATTTAAATATACATTAACATTATTATTCATCATAATTAACATGAAAGTATAAGAAGGTTTTAGTTTAATATACCAATAAGTATTATGCAAAACATAAAAACAGCACTGTATTTCATTGTTATAAAAGCACAGGAAGCAAGATTGGTTAGACTGAGTTGAAAATTCAGACTGACTTTTTGAACAATATTTTGAAATATTTGGATTTACATAGCTCTTCTTATGGATATGAAGGGACTTGCCAAATAAAATTATTTTATAGTTTCATTAATGCCATGAAATAAAAAAAATAATAACAAATTTAAATAATGCTTAAAACTTTTCCCAGTAAATAAAATGGTTTAAAGAAATCATTGTGATTCTACTGTAGTAATTAGGAAATAATTTTATTTTGTTTCCAAAATGATTTACAATTGACCGAAACAACTTTGTGGATGTATTAATGACCTTAGAATATAGTTCAGAAGTTTTTTGGGGTGTCATAGGAGAAATAACAAACAAGAAATTTTGTTTTATTGTGTTCCAATGTTTCAACCCAAGTTTCAGATCTTTATCAGGACTAAGCAAAAAACAAGATAACAACCATATAGTAAGAAAAACAATATATCAAGAAAATAAGAATATAAAAAGCAAAATGAAAATTTATCATATGAAAGTTATAAAGATAAATCAAATATCTATGTGTAAATAATGAAAAATAAAATAAAATATTGAGATATGGATGAAAAAAATATGATGGACAAAAGTGGTAATATAGAAGAGAATAATTGACAGCATGACAATATATGATAATATTAAGACAAATTATATAAGTAATAAAATGTATTGTATATTTACATACATTATTTACTTACCTTGTTAAATTGTTTTTCTTAATATATGATTGTTATCTTGTATTTTACTTAGCCCTGATGAAGGCCTAAAACTTTGACTGAAACATTGGCACACAACAAAATAAGATTTCTTAATTTATGTTACTTCGCCTTTATTCACACTCCTCAACTATTTTTTATAAGAAGATAATCAGTATTTTGGAATAAAAAGTCCAATATACAATTTTATAAGAAAATTAGAAGAATTTAAAAAAATGAAGAAGCAAAGCATTGCTGAGAAATAAAAAAATGTTACTTCAAATGCTAAAGATGTTAAGGACTACAGGACAACTCATGAATAGAACAGGATTCCCATTTTTGCCAAACTTTCTATGTTGGTTATTTTATTTGAACATATTATTACTTTCTTTTAGGTGAAAGGAAGGGCAATTAATTTAGATTTTTTGGAATTATACCCAAAACCTTACCTCCCAGGTCCATATACATCTTACCTCCCTTTTGTTTTTTATAAATATTTCTTCACTCCCAATTTCCTATCATCAAGAATATATGTAAAGGATTCACTGTTTGGATAAGATTGTAAGATTGTGAGAAACAGATCCACCTCTCAAAAGAGAAGAAAAAAAATCTAAATTTCAAGTATTTAAAACAACAAAACTTTCTCAGTGAAAAGTATCAGTAAACTATTTCATTTCTGAAGCTTTTTATTTCAATATATCCCCTTTCAACACAAATAATGGTACCACTAAAAATTGATAGTTATTGAGCACCTCAATTGTAATGGTTGTAAAATTTAACATAAATTCAAATTTACGACCAATTCAAATTAGGTATTTACAATGCTACTATTTTTAGTATAAGGGGGGGGATGCATACACACTTTTTATAACTAAGTAGATTTAGATTTTTTCACATCTATTAAGAAGAAAGAGAATATATTTAGTATTATCCTTTTTATAAATAAAATTAATGTCTTGATTTAAATTTTTCCTTTTCTTTCCTCCTTCTCTACAATGGTTCATAATGGCTCCATGACGCTTAATAAACTAAAGTTAAACAGTAGAAAGCTTCTCGAAATTATTAATTATAACCCTTTAGAATCTAATGTTGAAAAATAAATTTTAGTGAACTGATAAAGTTTATAAATAACCTTTTTATTTTTCTACAACTGCTTCCTTTAATATTATACCTAAGAAAAGGACTCCTCTCTCTGAAAAAGTCTAGGTATGCTTCATCTCTATACATGAACCTGAGATCATTCTTACAACCAACAAGGATGACAGGTGTATGCGGACAAAACTTGCGGATCTCTGGATACCACATAGCTTTACAGTTCCGTAAAGAGTTGGGAGAGGCGAGAGAGAAGCATAGTAGAACAACATCAGACCTAAATCAAACCAAAATAATTAATAAAGGATTATTATTGTTCAAATATTTTCTAGAACCTATAATATTTGTTATAACGTATATGATTAGATTGCACCGAAAGCCTTTATTAATTAATAAATTACATAAAGGCTTAATGCTACATTAATTCATTGCTGACATTTAAGCATCCCATTTAATTCTTATTCGATTGTGATGTAAACAATGCATATATGATTGTTAACTTTATTTAATAATCTTATATTTATTATGTAAATCAACTGTCTCTGCCTTTCATTTCATTTTATAAATTTTACAAAAAATACCAGAGTAAATGATTGTTATTTGTGGTCTTCTGAGAAACAACTGAAAAGAAAGGACTAAGCACAAAGGTAGTAGCTGAGAACATTTTTGCGGTGAAAGGAGAAAATATTGTGCATCATAACATGGCAATGTTTTGATTCAAACAGTTCAAAACTGAGAACAGTAGCCTTGAAGATAAGGTTAGATTGATTCATCCTTCAGAAGCAAATGATGCTATATTATTTGTATCTATCAGTCAAAATCTGTTAGTGACTAGATGAGGATTATTGTTCAAAAGAAGGGTTTCAAATGGTATGGCCAGCTGCCATTGACCTAGTTGTATATTTAACAATAATTCAGAAGTGAATGATGCTTAATTGTTTGTGTCTGTTAGTCAGGAACAGTAATTCAGAAGTGAATGATGCTGAATTATTTGCATCTGTCAGTCAGGATCTGTTAGTGACTAGATGAGGATTATTGTTCAAAAGGAGTGTTTCAAATGCTGTGGTCAGCTGCCATTGACCTAGTTGTATATTGAACAATAATTTTAATGCTTAGATTTTATGTTGACATTTAAATAAAACATTTTATCCATAAAGACTTTTGTAATGATGTATTATATTTTGATGTTTTACTTCTAAAACTTTGTAAACCTAATTTATTTCCTACATAATCCCAAGATTTTAAAGGTAACCCTTTGTCAACGGAAGTTAACAGAATAATTAAAAACTGATGATTTAGTAAAAAGAAAGTCTACAACAAATTAATAAAATTTATTAATAAAATATAATAAAATAAAATAAAATAAAATACCGAATGTCCTCTCCGAAATCCTACTCATGTCTAGTGTCCTAACTTCCTGCCACGTCAACTCCCAATCCCTTCCAGCCCATTACGATGAATTCCTAGAATATTTTACCCAAAACTTTTACCACATCATCGCAATTTCCGAAACCTGGCTCAAGCCCTACATCCCCTCCTCTTCAGTCTCCCTTCCTAACTACACCCTAATCCGCCACGACCGGGACAGCCGGACTGGCGGAGGCGTAGCTCGGTACGTTCATACCAGCCTAAAGACCCGAATTATCCATCGTTCTTCTCCAACCGATCAGCCACAAGTCGAGTTCTTGATCGTCGAAATCTCCTGTAACACCTCTCATCTCTTCTATTCCGTGGTATATCGTCCTCCTCTTGTTCCGTTTGACCCGTCTTTCGAAGCTTCCCTCTTTAACTTTGTGCCCCTTTATTCCAAAATTATCATTTCCGGTGACTTAAACACCAATTTCCTCTCCGACTCCAGCGACAAATCATACCTAGAAAACCTTTTTTTCTCCCTTCATCTTTTTATCGTTCCTTTTACTGCTACGCATCACACCGCAAGGTCCGACACTTGGTTGGACCTGTACATTATTGATTCCACTCAAAACCTCCTTTCCTCTTCCCAATTACCAGTTTCTTTTTTATCGTCGCATGACCTAATCCAAATATCCTATAATATCCAAACCCCTCCGATCCTATCGAGAACGGTAACTTTCCGGAACCTCAATGGCCTTACTCGGGAAAAAATCTTACCTTCCCTAGAATCCCTAGATTGGAATATAATATATTCCTGTACCTCAATTGATTCCATGGTTGACATTCTCACCTCCAATCTTAATAATATCCTTGATGACCATGCCCCTCTCAAAACCTCCACCTTTCGTCGCCTTTCTGCTCCCTGGATGTGTCAGAAAATTAAGGATCTTCAGAAGAGGCGTGATGCAGCCCGGAGACGCTTTAGACGCACTAGATTGCCTGACGACTATCAAGCGTTCAGGGTGCTCCGCAACCTGACACAATCCACAATCCGACGAGCCAAATCTACCTATTTCCATGAAGCCCTTTCCTCAGCTCCTGATTCCAAATCCAAATGGCTACTCCTTCGTAAACTCTCTCTTTGTGATCCTACCAGATCTCCTCCCTCTGCAGTGCCCCCAGTTTCATCAAATGACTTAAATTCTTATTTTATATCTGCTTCCTCTTCAACTCCTTCATTTCTCCCTTCCTTCTTTCCTCCTGGAACATCTTTCAATGACGCCGATTTTTATTTTTCAGATATTTGTCCCACAGACCTCATATCCGCCGTGATGAAATCACACTCTAATTCTATTGGTCCAGATGGCATTCCCGTCAAATTAATTAAATTATGCCTCCCTGAAATCCTTCCGGTACTCCTTTTCATCTACAATTTTTCCCTTCAAAATTCAGTATTCCCTTCCTTGTGGAAAAAAGCCACAGTCCGTCCTTTAAATAAAAATTCTAATCCGTCTTCCCCTGAAGATTTCCGGCCAATCTCAATCCTTTCTAACCTTTCCAAACCCCTGGAGAGAATTGTGCAATCCCAAGTTTTCACCTTCCTTGAACAGTCTAATCAACTTGACCTTTACCAATCTGGTTTCCGACCAGGTTATTCCACACAATCCGCCCTAATCAAAATCATTAATGATGTTCAGTCCGCCATTGATGACAAAAAACTAACCGTCCTTATACTCATTGACTTTTCCAAAGCCTTTGATTCCATCAACCACTCCATTCTCTTTTCCAAATTAAAATCATTATCCTTTTCCCATAGTTCTATCCTATGGTTTCAATCATTCCCTTCCCAACGCTCACAAGCTGTCGCTATTCCTAATCAACCCTTGTCTTCCTATCTTACTTTGTCCGCAGGAGTGGCCCAGGGCTCTAGCATATCTCCCCTCCTTTTTAGTTCTTATATCAATGACATCCATAATTCAATCCTTCACTGCTCCCATCACCTTTACGCTGATGACTCCCAAATCTACCTTTCCTTCCATCCCTCAGAGTTGCATGAAGCGTTTGCCAAAATTCAAGAAGACTTGAATCGGATCAGTGCCTGGGCAAACTTAAATGGGTTAAGGTTAAACGCTGCAAAAACTCAAGCCATTGTCATTGGTTCCAAACCCCTTCTCAGAGCCAATACCAACATACCTATACTGTACCTAAATGACCATCCCATTACCTTCACCTCCTCAGTAAAAAACCTAGGCATTTTCATAGACCAAACCCTATCCTGGAAACACCATATTGCTCACATTACCCGACAGTCAATTGGTACCTTGAAACTATTCCATCGCTTCCGCCATCTCCTACCCATCTCCACACGTAGACTCCTAGTAACTTCCCTCATCTTCCCCCACCTTGATTACGGCTGCGTGGTGTACGGTGGCCTCTCGGCAGAACTCGGGGAGAGACTGAAAAGAATTATGAATGCCTTCGTAAGATTTGTCACAGGGGCCCTGAGGTATTCCCGTGTTTCGCACCACTATGCTGAATTAGGATGGCTCTTCCCTTCCTTCCGAAGACAATATTTCCTAGGCACATTCCTTTACCAAATAATCAATAGTCATCGTCCGTCCTACGCATACAATCTCCTACAATTCAAATCATCTATCCACATCCTCTCCACAAGATCTCGTCCTTCTGACCTTTACACTCCTTTCCACAGATCTGCATCATTTAAACATTCCTTCGTTGTCCGTTCCACTGCATTCTGGAATTCCATCCCACTAAAAATCCGCCATGCATCATCCTTATCCACCTTTAAAACCCTCTTATTCCAATTCCTCTTCACAATCCAATCAGACGCTGGTTAAATACATACTATGTTATAAGGATTTAATTTTCTTTAGACATTATTTTTTTTCTCTTATTTTTTATTGTTTTATTCTGTGTTGAACGTGAATTTTCATCACCACTCACTAAGCATTGTGAGTAGATAAAATTTGTTTTCCTTAAGTTCTAATTTGTTATTCATGGAATGTATTTCAGTGAAATGTATTTTATTTCTAATTATCTTCAACATACTTCTCGCTATGTGTATATATATACTTTATTTTATTTTCTCTTCTCCTAATCTTTACGCATAATCACTTAAATATCTTAGGGAACATATGTATATCATTATTTGTTTTTTTTATATATTTTTTTGTTTTAGTTTTTACAATTTCTTTCCCTACATATTAACAGTTATTATTATTTTTTTTAAATTTTTATATTCCATCACTACAATGCTTTACCTATAAAATAGATTTTACTTTCCTTTATAATTTCATTAGTGATTATTATGCAATTATTTTAGCTCCAATATTGTAGTACTGAACCCCTATTACCAAACTGTCCTCGTTAATTTATCCTAAGAGCTTAATTAATACTTAATGTATTACAAGTATTTTGTCATTATTCATTGTAATAAGTCTTTTGACCAGATTTGTAGTTAATATATATGAACAATACTGTTATTCTAAAGGGACCTAGTCCCAGAATAAAGATGATTTTTCTATTTCTATTTCTATTTCTAAAATGAAAGGCTTGATGAATTAAAAGATTGACTGTCAATACTACCAACACCGCTTAATCCCTCCTCTGATATCTATTAAAACTTAATTTTTTAAGATCAGCATTGTCAATCCCCCCATGTACTTTTACACCTTGGATCTTCATCATTTATAATTTTTTTAGGGATGCATTCAATGTTAAGTTCCACGACTTCATATTTCCATTTCAACCTCTGCTATGGTATTACTTCAAGTAGATTAACAGGGTGCATACTCCACAATCCTGTGTAGTAAACAGTCCACACCATTCTTCAACCCTCTATTCTACCCCATAAGGCTGTGGGGATTACAGAATTCAAAAGTAAAGAGATAAGATTACAAAAAGTGATAAGTACTGTGGGTCTGTTCTTCCCTCAAGCCCACAGTATACAATAACAAACCTCACCCATCTTCAGTATTTACTTCCCTTGTATTCTTTCATTTATTAAAAATTGTAGAACATTACAGAAAATGGCATTCATTTTTATTTTAAATCATAAAGCTAAAGATTATCAACTACAGAAAAAATAGTATAAATGAAAATTTACCTTCCATAAGCAAACCTCCTGTCTTTCTCATGATCTCCGAATGTGTCCCATAGTCTCAGTGAAACATTTACTCCGTCCACCACTTCCCAAGATCTCTCCAAAACCTTCATATTTCAAAAGTATTAAAAAAGAAAAATATTTATTAAAAATTACAAACACTAGTGAGTCCTTAAAATAGAAATAAATACTTCCATCTAATGAAAATCTCATCTCTATATATAGAACTGTGTTTTTCAGAAATGATATTCTTTGTGTATATTGGATATAATTTTTACAAAATTTGATGAGAAGTGTATGAAATCCATGGCGATTTTCATATATGTAACACAAAGATTTTTTTTCATAGTGAAGAGTAAAATTTCTAATGATATTGTCTTGGCTTAAACGAGTCCTCACCAAACCATAAAACACAGAATAAAGAGGAAGGATCGATATTGCTGTAAGGAACAAACAAAAGATAAAAATAGAATTGGGTTGGAATAGAAATAAATCAAGAAAAAATGTTTCATCCTTTGTGACAACAATGATATAACTAATTATAATGACTCTCATACAAATAATCCTAGTACTATAAATAAAATAAAACTTGTATAACCATACAACAAGGTGCCTTTGATCGTATCCCATATGACACAATGGCTAGAGCATTGGAAAGTAGAGGGGTCGGACTCTTAGCTTCGGAATGGATTAATTCGGTTCTGAGGGAAAGAGTCCTTAAATCTCAGCTGGGACTACCTGTACTGTGGTTTAAACCTGTTGGAGGGTGTCCACAGGAGAGGAGGGGGGGGAGGGTTGTCTCCAGTCTTGTGGTGTTTAGCCGTTGACTCCCTGATTGTTAAATTGAATGCGGCGGGGTTTGATTCTCAGGGATACACTGACGATATTGTTGTACTGATAAGGGGCAAATTTTCAGATACTATCTCTGGACTGCTTGAAAATACTATGAGAGTTTTGAAAGAATGGTGCCAGGAAAATGGCCATGGCATAAACACGCAGAAGATAAATCTCTGTATCTTCGCTAACAGAAGGTATATTAAGGTTAGATCACCATCATTAAATATGTCAACATTAAATATTTGAAGTGCAGTAAAACATCTTGGGATTACTTTAGATAATAAGTTAAACTGGCTAAATCATATTGAAAAGATTAGCGATAAGGCTATACGCTGTTTATGGGCGTGCAGAAGAGTTGTTGGCAATTTGTGGGGGCTGAAACCCAGCATGGCCTTATGGCTATACAGAACTGCAATTAGAACCTTAATCCTCTATACGACTGTAGTGTTGTGGCATAGGGTATTCCAGGAAATGAGAAAGCCGATTACCTTGCTAGAAAAGGCTCTGCACAAGTGGCGGTTGCAGCGGAGCCTATTTGTGGGATAAGCCTTGGCTTTGCCAAAAGGAACAGACAAGGAAACAAACTCATTCTAAGTTATTCCTAGAAGGGTCTTGTCATAAGAGAAGTAATTCACTTCTTCTAATGGACAGGAGTACCATTAGGCTGGTGACAGGATTGTATACTGGTCACTGTCAATTAAATAAGCACCTTTTCAATTTGGGTATAAGTGAGACCTCCACCTGCAGGCTATGTTGCTTGAAGGATGAAACGGCCTATCACATTATTTGTAGATGTGATAATTTGGCTAGACTGTGATACTTTCACTTTTGGATGTGTTCGTATCACTGACCCTAAGCACTGTGAACTGATTGATCCTTTTAGTATTAACAGGTTTGCAAAGGCGTCTGGCCTGTTATAATTGAGTCTAATAACCCTTATTGAAGGCAAGGTGCACTCTAATGACGAAACAAAAAAAAAAGAAAGGAAAGAAACCATATAACAATCTTATTTTTACTAATGTCATTTGTTTATTTGAAACAGTGAATAATAATTCCACATTAGGTTACGGATATCTGATATGTTTTTTTTAAGAAAGCTGATATCTAGTTTCTAACAGTTGTTTGAATGTTAGAAAAAGGATTTTATTTTGATGAAAAATAATTGAATATAATAGGTACTTATTTAACTTCTTTTTAATATAATAATACTGAAATAGATCAGGAGTTTAGGATTTTGTTTGCAAATTTTAGCACCTATCTGTGGGCATATCTTGGGTCCAAAAATGTGCTGTAGTATTTTTATTTTTATTATGCTGGTTTATTTCTGGCAGTTGATCATTCACTGAAGTTATTGTGGACCTGGGGTATTTGAATTTTTCTACTCTAGGGACCGATTTCCCTTCTATACAGATCCTGTTATTCGAGTGGAATTTTTGGCGTGTTATAATGTCATATTAAATGTGAGAAAAACATTTATATCTGTAAATCTATGGACTTTAAATTTCCATTGCACAAACAAAACTTTTGTAATTTTTTTTAGCTAACCAATTTCTTCTAATTCTGATAGGTGTTATTTTTGTCTTTGTACTTATATCTTTATATACTAATAATATAAATAAGCGTACTCACATCCTTGTATATCCTGTATTGATCTATAGCCCACACAGTGGGGACGTGGGTCGTGAGGAGCTGGCTGAGCGAGAGCTGCTTGTTGCATGCCCTTGCGCAGATAAGTCGAGTCTTTCCGACTGCAGTATCTCCTACCACCACGCATTTCACCAGTTCCTGGTGGTGCTGTTCGTTATCCATTGTTCAATGTCATCACAGGGGCGAGCCACCCACCTGCATCAACAAAAGTACATATATCCTTTAGCTGTAAATGCATTCATAGGCAACATAAATAGGTCCTGTTTTGATAAGTTAGAATAAAAAAAAATTATTTAAATAATATATCACATATAATTAATGTGAGAAAGATTATGATAGATAGGAAGCCTATTTCTGAGGGATTAGGTTTCATTTACAGTATTCTCTAATATTTACTTAACGTAAGTAAACTTAATTTTGATTGCCATACATACCAAGTATGTAGATATGATTATAAACACCTGAATATTTGAACAAATGAAGCTGTAAAGCTGAATACAATACGTAAACAGTTTTATTGAAGTAGTAGGAATATATATAAAACCGGTATTGTCTAAATATCATGGAAGTGTATGAATAAATAAGTAAAAGATACGTACATATGAAAGTGGAATTTTTGTACAGAAAATAAACTTTTATTATTTGAAATATTGTTCAATTTTTTACTGTTCCACTATATAAAAAGAAAAAAAAAAAGATACTGATTTGAATTTTTTACTTTTTTGATGGGTGGTTGGTTTTAATATTGTTCAATTTGTCACTGTTCCAGTATATATAAAGAAAAAAAAAAATCGATTAGAATTTTTTACTTTCTTGATGAGTGGTTGGTTTTTATCACAGAATAAATGTGAAAAATATTAGAACAGTAATGAGACAGATAAAAACATTGATACATTTTGATCATGTTATTGAAATGTGCCATCCAAATCGAAACAAAAGTGTTTGTATCATCTAAAGTTTAAAAAACATATAATCAAGATTTATTTTAAGAAATGTTTATGGGAATAAGGTAGACCAGAATAAGGTAGAACCTCTGGCAATCGAAAATTGTATTCTTCTCCATAATTGAATTTGAACAATTAATAGCCTTATTCACTTTTCAGATGAAAAAAATTCTGAATATAAACTTGTTGAAAATATTTAAAATAAACTACAATATTATTATTTTAATTAAAATTGACATATTCTCTTTATCTGTTTACTCATCATTCTTATTATTTATTTTTCAAATATAATTCCTTAAACACTTTTTAAATGTTTACAATAACCTGAGTGGCAAGACAACGAAGTAACAATGGGTTCTACTTGAACAAACAAATTAATTAAGGAACACATTAATCAACAAAAATGCAAATAGGCACATCATCAATTTCAGAAAAATAATAAAAATAAAAAAATCATAAAAAACTTTTGTTACAGAGGCAATATGGTTATGTTAAAGGAAGTATAAAAGTTTGAATTGAGTTTTCTAAAATCAGAAGTTTTTGGATTGTACCTTTCTCATTCTGGATGAGTGATTTATAGAAGGGCTGAGTAAAGGGAGGAGTAATCCCTCAATTTAGTTAAGTTGAGTTAAATTTTCTATTTCTATTTCTATATATATTAAATCCTGGTCTCCATTTTGTGATTTTATGGATTATAGCAGTGATGATCCCTGATCTAAATTAGCTAAATGCTGACTGTTCAGCCATTATTTGCAATTTGAGAGACTAAGGATATTGTTGATAATCTTTCAATGACCTTATAGTAAGTAACATTATTTTTTTAATTTTTGATTTTATTATTTATAAAAATAATGGTGTGTCCTGATGAAAAATCTGATAAATTGGGATTTCATTGAAATATTTAAGTATCAGGACCCCCAAATATCCACTTACTCATTTTCATTTTCAATTTATTTCACCTGTATTAGATACACATTTTACCATTCAGAGCTAAATTTTAATCCTTTACCTACAAAAAAAAGAAGTAAAAACATTTAAAACTATTTTTGGTAAAAGAAATATATAGTTTCATTATTATCAGTGAGCTTACATGCTGACTTAAAGCAGTAAAAGAGTCGATCTAGCAATTGGAAATGGAGGCAATGAGGATGGCTATCACAAACTAACCGTCAAGGTTGTCATCTAATTACACAAGCATGAGCATAACTAGAGGGGGAAAGGTGGGGGTACAGCACCCTCTTCTAATATTGAAAACATTTAAATTAAAGAAACAATAAATACAAAAAAAGAAAAATTTATAACCAGCAAGAGGTTATTTATTAATATTTCAACATTAAACTAAATAAACTAATTGAGAAAGAAACATTTTTATTTTCATTGCCTTAAATTAATTGCATCTCCTTAATAATAGCTCCTCTTCTGGCTTTACTGTGAAGGAAATATTTTTATTATTGATATGAAGAGAAAATCTTTAAAAAGAGATATAAATTAATTTTTAGTATACAATTGGAAAATTTTAAACACAGAGTATATATTTTATTATCTTGGAGTGATGAGCTGTTTCTAGTTGTTGTTTCTTTCGTATACTGTTCATGAGTGATGTATTGTGTATTTGGTTTGCAGATATGTGATCTTGATTGTTTACCTGCAATGTAGAAGATGAAGGCTTTCTGTTTGCTATTTATATTATATAATGATAACAGATAAAAATTATGACTTTCATTTTCTGTGCGAGATATCATGTTAAAATTGTAAAATGTTAAAATTCAAAACATAAATTATAAACATGGATAATAATAAATAAATTACATATAAATAAATAAAAATCTTACCTTAAGTAGGTGGGACCGCCCCTGCTTTTCATTATTTATAACTCAATATATTTAATAATTATAAAAATGAATCTAAGCCCACCAAAATAGAATTAGAAAAGGAATCAAAAAGTGAATAGTTCATAATATTTACTTATACATTAATGACAGAGGTAAAATGTTGAAATGACTTTATATTGAAACTTCAAGGAAGGAAGAAATCACTACAAGTTGTGTATAGATTAAATTACCATACAACAGTAACATACTTATTTGAAATATGGATGATTATATTTGTTACCAAGGTAGTTAATTTAAATATAGTCCGTGGTACAGGTCCCTTTTTGTCAAATTATTAACATCCGCCTGAAACTTCGTAAATACCTTCATCACATCGTTACATAAAAATATTTTATTTACGAAAACTCTCGGAATTAGACCGTTTTGAATCTGGAGACAGGCCAACTTTGTCTGTTTGGTAATTGGCGTGCTCTACACCCCCAAATTGTCAAAATAACGAGGTTATATATGCTAAACGGCTCAATATTTTTGTAGGCCACCTTTTTTTTTTTTTATCGATTTTTTGTGCAAATTACCTTACTGTCTTAATGGATATTTACTAAGTTTTAATACTTAATTAAATAGAAAAAAAGTTTGCCAACCTCCAGATTGAAAACGGCCTAATTCCGCGAATTTCGGTAGATAAAATGTTTATAGGTTAAGATGAGATGGAGTTATTTACGAAGTTTCTGGTTATTGTTAATAATTTGGTAAATAGGGGTCTATAGTACAGACTAATATAATGATTTTTTAAATTTTCTATGTGGTATAATTTGAATTGATTATTGAAAAGTAGTATACCAAATATGCTATAGTAATAGTGTTCATTAATTTTAATTAGAAATTTCAATCATGATGTATTTATTTTAAATAAAAAACACACAAGGAAAGTGAATAATTTTCACACCCAATTAAAAAAAATAATTCTTGATAAATATGAATATTTTATTGAAATAATAAACATATTTCTTAAATACGAGTATATAGTTCAACTATTAAGATATTATTTTTTATTATTGAAGGTTAATATAATAGTTTTATTTTTTATTATTTAGAAAATTTAAATTATTATAATCTTCACACTCCCAAACACTATTTATTTGGATATTTCAGAATGATTTTTCCATTTCAAATACATATAATTTAATTGTAGATCAAACATCTATTTTTTTACCTGTAATTAAATGATAATTAAAAATCCATTGAATCACATTTCATACATAGCTAAACATCAACAATGACTAACTTATCTATACGGTGTTTCAACATAAACACTTAAGTTTTTTAATATTATTTATTGTTTTAACCAGCTGTATTTTAATTCTTAATTTCGTTTTAAATAAAAAATTAAGTATATATTTTTATATTTTAAATTTCTGTAATTAAAAATAAATATAATTATTAATGTCTATTAATTATATTGAATATTTTATGTTGTAATTTCCATTATGTATGGCCAACTCTTTATCGCAGTTCTGACTGTTCTCTGTTCCTGCTTATTTAGTTATAATGTCTATTATTTATATTGTACATCTAGTTCTAATTTTATTTATCAGAAAATGTCCTAGAGACAGATTGTAATATTTTTCAATAAATAAGTTTAAAAAAAAAAAATATTATCAGAAAAACCTTTTTTTAAATTTTATTTATTTGTTTTTTTATTGACATTAATTATTTATGGAATTAATTTCTATGGAATTTATTATGCCTGTGAAATGTTTATTTATACCACTCATGTCTGTTTTTTAGGTAACTACTTTTCTTGTATATTTAGTCATATGTATTGTAAATTATTTTTGCTCTTTTAAAATTGGGACAGTGATTAAATTTTATAGTGTGTTTATTCAGTTAAGAAGTATTTGTATAAAATCATTATCAACATTTGCAATATTACAAAGCTTATGTTACATTACTGACTTCATACTATGACTTATACGTTTTAAAAAAAATAAAACACAAATAAAAATTTAAAAAAAAAAGAACAACAAACCCTTCTCATCCTCTAATTGCATCCCTGCCTTCCTTTTGTGAAGTTCCCTTCTACGTTATATTATTCTGGAGTTAAATTGAAAAAAAAAATCCAGTCGCTTGTTTCACCTGACACAACAGCAGCTCATGTTGAATCGTACAGCTTCAGATCCAATTTCTGTTCTGGAATATCATCAAAACTTTCCTAACTCATTTGTAGAAAGGAAAAAAAAAAAAAAAAAAAAGAGGTGATTTTGAACTGGGAATAAGTTTCATACAACATAAAAGTTGCGAGCAATACTTCAGTCATTAAAAAATGTTTTTGAGACATATTGCTCTCTAAAATGAATTAAAAATTCAATTTAATTTCTTAGATGGACATAATCACAACAAATTTTCATCTGGTTCTGTGTAGCTGATATTTATTTTATCTTTTAACTTATTTTAATCAATATTTTATAATAGATGGATAAAAGAGATAAGAACAATTGATAAACAAGGAAATAACATCTAAAATTCGTATGAATAAAATGATTTTACCAAATGTATTACAGTATCTTTCAAGTTTAGTCAAAATAGACAAAAGCAAAATATTTAGTTTTTTTTAATCGATTTATTAAAATATAGGAACCGAGCGAATCTCTTGATATTTACCGCAATAAGGGCAAACTTTAATCCTGAATAAAATGAATTAAATTAGCGCAATAAAATAACGTTTGTTGGAGAAAAATGTGGTTAGCATGGATAAGCATTCGCGCAAACCGGTCTGTTCGCGAATATTATTTCCCATCCACACTAGGTGAATCTTCTTCGCCAATGAACTCCTAATTTAAATAATTTTAGTCAGGATTAGCATTCGCCAACGCTTTGATTAAGGTTTGCCCTTTTGGCGGTAAACATCAAAAGATTCGCGTTTGTTCCTATATCTATTTCGACTTGAAAGAGAATGTAATATTAGTGTTATGCAACGAGGGTTCACCTAGTGTGTAACCATTTTAATGCATAAGATAACATGATTGATTTTATTAAATTGAGGAACCAGCAGTGATTGTAGTTGAAGAAAAAAAAACAACATATATATTTGATTAAAATATCAAATTTTAACCATAAAAAGGTAGTTAAGATGACAGTTGCTGTCACCTCGTTCTCTTGTAACGGCAACTAAAAGGGCTGAGGCTCAAACTGAAGGAGTTGTTAACGGGGCTTTAGACACGCAACACACAACAACTGTGAGGGTTTAGTATCCCAAGAAGAATAGGAAGCGAAGGCCTCCTGGAAGGGGTTCCCTTACAATTAGTAATTAGTAAAGAGAAATATTTAAGGGATGATAGACCTCAAGAGCTACAAAAAAGTTTATATAAACCATGGTCCGATTTTCCACAGAAAAATAGGAAATTTTAGTTTTGTGTTTTTTTAAGTACGCCACGGTTCTTGTTGAATAGGAAGATATAATTTAAAAAAAAATGTTTAATTAAGGCAGTAACCAATTACTTAGTTGTAAACTAGACATAATTTAAGTTCTATTTTTCATAAAACCATTCTTGATTTTCTTTTATTACCCTTAGACTGCACTCCAGTTAATTCACTTTAAGAAAAACTTGCATATTAAATAAGTTTTAAATTCGTATTAATTAATTTGAGGCTTGTTATGGAATAAGTTCATATTAACTTGTAGGAATGTAAAAAAAAAGAAATGCTATTTGACGTTCTGTCATCTCAAAGTAATTGTGGTTTTAGCGATAATTCATTAAAATATTTTATTTTCGTTGTAATTATTTTTTTCTCTTTAATCTTCATTCACAAGTTTGTATTTTTTATTTTAAAATTTTTTAAACTTGTTGTTTCATCAATTTTTACTGTTTATCATATATTTATCACTAAAACTCGAAGAAATATTATCTTGCTTAAAACTCATTGAATATTTCGTTTATATATTTTAATTATAATCTTATTCTATTTTACAACATGTACATAATCATTATTATTCGTGAAGTTAAGCATTAAGAAATGCCGAGGTGGGAGAATCGAGATCAAAAAGAATGGGAGTGTCAAGATTCAATTTTCGAGGCCTTCAAAAATTAAATATTAACTGACCCTGATGGGAATCAAACCCAAAACCTTCTTAACCAACCATTGGCGGACCTAGACCCATCTCATCCTCCGTGTCAGCTTAATATTCATGTGTATTGTTAGTTTTATAGTAAAATATATAATGAATATTTAATGGTTGACCGTTGCATTATAAAGGAAGGAGATGGTCCGGGGTTGCGGTCATAAAAAGGCTAAATAGTGGTAAAAATATTTTATTGAAAGCCGGTTTTACCACTATTTAGCCTTTTTATGACCGCAACCCCGGACCATCTCCTTCCTTTAAAATATATAATGTTTTGTTTCACTTTTAGCTGATGCTATCTACAAAAAATGATATATTTTAATATGAAGCTAAAATACTTATGACTTAAAAATGATCATTTAATGCTAAACATTATTACAAAATCATCAACAGATTAATTCATAATATTGTTTATATTTTGCATTTTCAATTTTTCTGTTATAGTTCATCAGCTGTTTAAATGCTACCTCCTTCAGATACAAGATGTGTTTTTCTATTTATACTTTCACTTACGTATATATGTAATATATAGTAAGGGTATGTATTGCGATCGTGAAAATTTTTGATTCTGGGTTTTCAACGGAAATACACGTACTAGAGTCCTGAGTCCAAATAATCAAGTCCCGAAAAATGGTCTGTATGTGTGTGTATGTTAGCAGTCCAGCTCAAAAACGAAAAGTTGAATACGAAACTGATATTACGTATTTAAGACAGGTATGCCTTAGATGTGACAGCAACTTTTTCTTTAAAATCGGCTAACCGGAAGTGCCACTTTATATCAACACTGAAACACATTTTTACAATTTCCTCAAAAACAGCACTAACGATTTTGATTAAACTCGGTGTACCATTGTATAATTTAGTTGTCTTTAATATCAATCAGGTCTTATCCCCATTGATGTCACCTTATAGCTCTAAATGCCCAATTTTCATATACGTCCTCTTAAGTACCTTTAATATGGTTTATTTTAGAAAGTTAATCATCTCACATTATTCAGAGTTACGAAAAAAATGCTAAATATAACTTTTGAAAAATTTAATAATTGAATAAAGGAGAAAAACATAAAAATGCTTATCCAGGTCTAAAATGAATCTCCGGAAATACTAGCCAGAATGTATACGTATAATATATCGTTGGATAGCGGAGAATTTTAGAAAAAACAATATCTGAATATAGAAAGTTGTAGAAGGTAACGGAGAGTGGCAAACAAAAATATAAATATTAATTTTTGAAAACTAATAATATTTAACGTAAATCACGTGTTTTCAAGGAAATTACATGAAATTTACTTACTATATGTAAACTTTTAAAATATTTTTAAGTTTGAAAAAAGTAATTCATTGAAACGAGCTGCGCTATTTTCCCGCTATTTACGCTGTTTAAATAGTGGCATTTAATATTTCTAGACTACGTTATTGTGCTTTTATTATTTGCAGTTTTAGTGGCTGAATTGGCGTGACTAGTTAGCTATTTACTCAGATTTGAGAATATCTATTTCGAGTTTTATTGTCATCGATATTATTTATTTTGTACAAAAAAAAAAACCTCAAGCCAAGCCAAGCGTCGAAATTTACGAGAATTTTCTAATATGCGATGAGAGAAACGTAGGAATGACTTTGCATTGCAAAACAACAGCTGGCGTTTTAAAGACCAGCTGGATTAATATGGAGTGGAAGCTTGCAGTCATATCAAAGAGGCACTGCTGACAATTATTTAAGAGACTACCAACAGTTTATATACATCTTTCAAAAGGTTTTCTCAACAAACACAGTTGCTAGAGGGATTTTTTTTTTTTAATTAAAAGAGATGAATCCTTTAAAATGAGAAGAAAATAAGACTAGACCAAATGATTCGGATTTTATTTATATTTGACATATAAAATAAATTATTTATGTGCTAACGAGGGAGTGGGGTAGCTCAGTGGTAGGGCACTCAGCTTCCAATGCTCAAATTTCCAGGATCGAATCCTGGCTCATAGTAGAAAAAAATATTTATTATGTTTCATCACATGCGATTCTGAGGCACACCCAGCCTCTACAAAGTTGGTATCCTTAATTAAAATAATTAATTAAGGAGAAAAACCTGGCGGTTGAGCGTGATTCTAGCCCGTTCTCCTCTCTACACAACCGTTGGTCTAGTAACAGTATTTCTTCACATGGTATTGAACCAGGACCCTTCATGAGTTGTTGTGTACATAGTGGTACAGACTTTTTTTTATGTTAATGAAAAAAAAGTTATCTAATTAGATTTTAATTAGAAGAGTCCAAGCACTACGCCTTGTGTCTCTTATATACCGTCAAGATATTAAATTTAAAAAATCAACATTTTACTGATAAATGCAACATCAAGACAGAAACAACACAGGCCATACAAAAGTAGGCCAAAGCAAACTTTGAGGAAAAAAGTTCTTTAAAAAAATGTTCTAAGGAACTTTTTAAACAAAGTTCCAGGTATTATTACAGGTTATAAAAATTTAAATTTTATTTATTCAAGTACCTCCTGAGGCGTCTGAAAAGAAGATGGCCTCGTGATCTCTTTATGTAGACATTAATTCAAGTTTTCAAACAAAGTTCCACTACATGAAAAATAGTAATTGGGCTTAGATTAGAGTTAAACGAATTACACATGATTCTAATGTGTCACTTATTAGAGTAGCTATGAATTAAAGTAGTATTTTAGATCGACTTTTTAACGAAATCGATAGAACTTTTAAATAAAAGTTTTAAAACCTTTACTTGAAAAGTTGATTGAAAAAAGTTCTAGTTCCAAAATAATTGAAAAAATATCGACAATAACAATTCCGGTGATACCAAAACGTTTTAAAAATAAAAGTTTTTTTTTCGTTTCAAGTTCTGATTCTAGTTATAAATTATTATTCGTAATGTCCGGTAAAATCAAGGTTAGGATTAATGAACGTCTATGCAGATTTTTTTTTAATATACAAATGAATAAAACTTTAGCTCTACTTACTATACATTTTTTCGGTTGAAAGTTATAGGCAGTTATTTCGTAAAACTCTTATATTTACTTCACTGCTTTCAGTGAACATTATTTAAAGTATGGCAAAACCATC